GCAATCGTCAGAGATATTGAGCGCGTCGTGTAGACGGGGGGGTCATCTGGTTCAAGATTTAAAAGAAAATCAAAAAATTGTCCTGCTTTGACATTGATCATCTGTATACGGTAGATCGAGGGATCGACTTAACTGACACGTGGATCTTCGTGCAACGTTATCGTCATTTTATTTTTCTGTCGTTTGTCCATAGTAATTGTCCGTGACTTTTTCCTTTTTAGGCATTGACCTTTGACTCCGTCTCATAATTGACATTAGCACTCATGATGTCTCTGGACATTTGGGAACTTTTCTTTTTCCCTAGATCATTTCGTTGAGATACGTTTTCTGGGTGCTTGGGATTACGTTGGTCACTGTTATGAATTTTAATGTATACACTTCGACCAGTTACTTCTTTGTTTAATTTTGTCTACGCATTGTTACGATCCTCTGTCAACTTTTTTCGCGTTTTCACCCATTTTTATACTGCATTGTTACACCGTAGTTCATTTTAAAAAATCTATTCGAGACATCACGCCATACCGATCGTCGATCCCACGTGGCTTTGTTTGCGACTTTAGTTCCGATAAATTGAAATGTGGCGCTGCGGTCGCACCGAATCTCTTTTCAAACGGTCGGACGCACGTCTTTTTAACTCGCACCCGTCATTCTGGCACGTTACCAGCTTTGTTTTTGCTGCCTTTGACGTTTCGTCGGCGTAAACATTGAATTTTTATGGTTTAAAGTTTGTTATTGTTATTTTTTTGCGAATACTCCATCGTGGAGTTGGTACGCGACAGGATTCGTCCGATCGACAAACCGCCATTGAATGGTCGTTTTGCTCTGACGATTGTTAACGTGTCGATTTTGAATTTTTTATATTAATTTATTTCATCCCCGTGCATTTAGTCTGCTGTATAACTCGAGATGATGTTCTGCGTCTGGAGATTATCGATTACCCGTATGCGGCTTGTACGGTTTGGTTAGTTTGTCTTTCGGTAAATATCGTACTTGAACGCGTTGTACACGGTAAATACCCTGAATCCTCTATGGCGGGCCTAGACTGCTTTTTCGTTATATATTGCGACGTATTCGTATTCGGAAAATTCTAAGTTAGGTTAGCTGGTCTTATAGCTGGAATGACAGCTAGAGCCTTTGAGTATTTCATGACGGTTGCCATGGTGATAAACAAGTTCGAGGTAACATTCGGAAGAGTACCGGAGACTCTTGGCGCTGTCGGCAATGCGCTCTCGGTATTGTTTTTTTTTTTATACGCGGGAATCGTTTACAGCGACGGTGGAGGTGTCGGAAGAGACGGATAAGGAACCGTGAATAGAGAGAGAGGAGCCATGGTGATGACAGAGATGCTAACCTAACCGTACGGTGTAATCGTGCAGTGTAAATTTTGGACATAACCAAGAGACTTGGGACTTCACGAGGAAGTGTCTCTTCACCGTAAAAAAAAAATGCTACAAATTTTTGTTTGAATGGAAAAAGTGTCAAGGTGCATTCTCTAAAAATATTCTTCGCGTCCGCGTACCTTCTCCGGCAGTGTTCCTGGTTTATCCGAAGATATATTTTTCGCGATCCTACAAAGTGGTGGAAAAAGTGGGGTTGGTAGAGCGTTCTGATTGATTCTCTCTGTTTTTCTCTCTCTCTCCTCCGTCATACTCATTCAGTAGTTCTGCCTTTCTCATTCTCACAGAGAGTCTCGGGCGTCCTGTCACGTCGGTAAAACAGAGTACTCGAATACTTTTTTCCCCCTTTAATGCTCGACGGATAAAACAGCGTCGTCCAATACGCAGCTCTCCCTGTGCGTAAAAACATTAAGCTACACGCTCGCAGCAAAGGACCTCCAGGCTCTCTTGCTTGTCTCTCGCGCGGGCCGCTCCGGTTACTCCGGAGGACAGTGGCCGTGACCCGAGTGGGACCTGGGGAGGGTCGGTGGCCCCGTGGCAGCAGCAGCAGTAGCAGCAGCGGCTTCCACCACCAGCTAGAACTCCCACGTCTCTACGCAACTATACGTCACCTTACACTGTCCTCCGTATACACGTATATACAGTACCCGTGTTTTCAGGCTATGCCCAAAGGCTATACCCTCTTGCCAGTATCTATTCCCGCATAACCTCTTGCTGCTAACTTTTCTCCTTCGACGAGGATACGTCCATAACGTTATACCTGAATGATCTGTATGCAAACTGCTAGTTGAGTACTTGCGCCCGGTACTTTCTCTCCGTACTGCAGTTCATTGCTACGCGTCTACTTGTACTGTGCATGTTGTATGGTCTTCTTCTTTTTTTTTTTTTCAATATTTTTTACTGTACAGTAAAAGATTCTTTTTTTAACTTTTGTACTATTCCCCTTTATGGTACTGTAATGGTACCTTCTTCTTTTTTTTTTTTTTTTTTAATGTTTCCGTACTTGTTTCTCTCCCTTTGACTACCTCATACATCTGTCTCGGGACCTTCTCTTTATATCAACCCCCCTCGATCCTCCTACCTACCTACCACTGTCACCGACAGGGTGTATCCCGCGAGAAGATACGCAGAGACCTTAGCGAGCGCGACGTCGTTCCCATCGCACCGACGCCGACGACCAGCCGCGACGCCGTCTCCGTCGCGACGCGGTCGATACGCCCGGCACCAACCCCCGACTGACCGAGCCGCCCTTCCTTACCTTACCTTACCTCAAGATTACCTTACCTTCTTCCACGGATAACCTAACCTCCATTGACATGGGCATCACCGGCGTACCCAGCTGGCCCGAGCATGTATTTCTGGTATTTACTTTACTTTTTTTTTTTTATTAACTTCAAGTAAAACCTCGTTCACTCCGAGTCTTACGCGAACGATACTTTCGGTTCTCGTGTCTTGACGCATGTTGTTATATTTTTTAAATCAAATTACTACCTGTGGACCATTTTTAATTTTTCGGGGAATTTTTTTTTTTTTTTTTTTTTTGATTATCCAGTTTTATGGTATTTCTAGTGATTTTTTTTTTTATTACACCGTAACTAATCTATCGCTTGGATCAGAAAATTTGCGATCTTCTGGACTTTTCGTTAATGGCATTTCTAGTCGTGCCTGCTAATTTCATCATTATGCAGTGGGACTGCAGTGCCGTGCTCAGGGGCGGATCATTTTTTTTTAAGTAATTTTTTTTTTCGTATTTTTAATCACTGTCCGTGATAATCTTGACCGCTATGAGATCGTTCACAGTCACTTTTCTCGGAGACACCTTTTCTCTCATACGATTTCTAACCGGTTGTCTTAATGGGGTTGGCAGTTCGAAGAGGGGGGGAACCAGTTTTGGATTTCTTTATTGTGGCGCCACGCGCTACCCATAGATACCAACATAAGCAGCAAGAGACGAATCTTCTGGTGGTGATCGAACATTCAATTTTATTCATTTCTGACCGAGATGCATCATTGACAGTTTCACCGTAGCCAGGATCCATCGTGATCAGGGGCGGACGGGTGGGGGGTTCGAGAGGGGGCTCCTATCGATTACAATTCGTTATCTCGGTATTGACGTTCGTTTTGAAATTTCTATAGGGAATTTTTTTTTCGTTCTCTTTACACGTACAATAAAAAAAAATACCAGTGAAGAAAACTCCGCGCGAAATACGAAATATAAAGAATAAAGTAATTAAAATCCCTATGGACGTGTCTTTATGGTATTCGTAGCAGTCAGAGGTAAAATTTTACTGCTGCTTTCGGGATTCGATTCGTAGCGGCCATCTTTTTTCCCTGCTTCCGTTTCTCTTCGCGTCCAGAATTTTTACTCGGATTCAAGAAAAATTTCTTCTACCACCCCGTTGCTTCTACTTTTACTCTTCCGCCCTCTTCATCTGTACCTGTCTTTTTTTGAAAATTTTCGGAAACCAAGGAAATCGTCTTTTCACCAGATTTCCACGAGGCAGTTCCCCATCCCGAAAAAATTGTATACGTCGAGGCTCAGTTTCCATGAAGAAAATCGCCGGCTTGCCTTCTTTCCGTGGCTTTAGACCGCACCGCTGCAACGTTATGCAATCGACTGCATAACTGCATCCATACACAGCAAGACGTGTCCTACGCCTGTTTACATCCTACGTCGCTCCAGCTCTCCACTTACTACCGTAGGCAACTTTGCTCTCGGATCTGGTGACTTCGACGTTAAATCAGTTGAACCGCATACGTTCGGTTATGGCTCTAGGGGATATTTCGCCTGTAATTGCCACTCTGACCACCTCGTGAAATAACAAGAGTGCGCGGGTATGTCATTAGTTTTTCTGGTTATGCGAAAAAAAAAAAGGAGTCTGGCTCGTTACGTCACTGACCTGCCTCTGCCTTACGACTGAGGTCAGGATCCGAATGTTCTGCGGTATTGCGTCATATAGCTTCTAGAAGGATGAAATTTAGTGTGAAATGAGGCGGCGAGGGGGGAGGAAAGATATCTATAATTTTACCTTACAATTTAGAAAATACAGCGTTCGCGAAGGATCTGGGGAATTTTTTTTTTATTTTGCCAAGTCGAAAGGCCGATCTCCGGCGCTTAATACTCTGGTCCAGGCACACGTAATGGCCATCCCCCTAGGAGGCATTTTCGTTCGGTTGGTACGGAAGATTATGGTGGTACGGTGCATTGGTAGTAAAGCTAGAAAGAGATATTTACTGTTGTTTTGGTATTAATCCTGGGTGGGGATAAATGTCGCTGTTTTGGTATTCCTGCTAATACCGGTGACTGCGGTTCAACCGTTTGTCACACAATGGACATTGTTTCTGGGATTGAGTTTTGTGAGGTTGCACTAGGTTTTCATTGTGCTTATGCTGGAGGGACCAGCGGGAGGGGGGTGGGGGGGTGACAATCTTCGACCTGGTTCATCTCGAGAATTTACGTAGCACTGAGTCACAGTCTTTTATATTTACCCACGTATACATGGTATACGGGGGTATTACGATGTAATGCATTTATTTCTTAACGTGGTTCGTGTCCGTGCTAAGTGTCCGAAGCTTATACGATTTAACGTTTTTCTGTTTCAGATCGCACCCTCGGCAAAAAAGCTATGGGGCGTCGACGAGGGCGGCTCGAAGGACGAAGGGGGTGTAAAAGGCGGTGGGATACTACACCTGGGAGACCACCAGATGTGGCGCGATTCTACCTGGAGTACCTCAGGTATTGGAATTATTTATTTTCTTTTTCTTTTTGGAAATTGTTATAAAAAATTTAGGAATCCGTATACTCCGGAACGCCCGAGGAATTGGAAGTTTTCGGGAATCGGGAGGAAAATTTTGGAGGTTGCCGAGGAGCTGGAAGAGGAGTTGGGTTGATTTTGCTATTGAAATACGTCGTTACGTTGTCTGTCGTTAACGTTGGGGTAAGACCCTGGACCTGATTCACCCTCCTCGTCGCACGTTAAACGGGCCACGCTTCGGGCAGATCGTGGCTGGTCGCGTTTTCATGTGTGCGACGTGGCGATGGGTGCAACGCGGCTGTTGCTATGGCGACAGACGCCCGGCATCGGTAGCGGTGGGGGCAACGTCCGAACGGCCCAGGCTCGTACCTACTCATCAACCCCAGGGGCTCCTGGTGTAACCCCTAAAACCTACCCCCCCTCGAATGCTACCTACAAATAGCTGATCTTGCTCTTAGGCTGAAGAGACCTGGACTTGGGGGCCTTACCCAAGATGCTGGGGATGGTTGATGTCTCGTACCCTCTTATCTGTATTTTATTTATTCGTGGGTAGTATCGATAGTGGAAGCTACACTTGAAATTTTTACTATTTGTATTGGCTTTTTCTGTACTTTGTGACACTTTCGTTTTTTCATATGGATCTTCTTGTATTGACCGATTTTTTTTTCCTCTATAATTGCAGATCATGCTGTTTCACAACCGATCTCGATGGGTACTGGAAGACGTATTGGGGTTGGTACTGGGTACCATCATCAGACCTCAGAGGGTGCAGTTCTCAGCCCCAGAAGCAGGTTTGTATATTCAAATTACTGTTACTACTTAGGAATCGTTATCATGGAGGTATAGTCAGTCTGTGAGTTAAATATCCTTTTTTTCTTTCTTTTTTTGACAGGTTGAAAACAATGAAATCGTTAGGAGGTTGCCACGTGGTTTTACATAAGATCACAATGTGTGCTGGAGGAGAGAAATATATTTGAGCTAAAAATGATGTACCTGCGTACTGTCTGGCATATATTTTATGCCAAGTCATATATGTGGCTCCTTGAAAATTTCATAGTTTTCGACCTCTCAAAGGGATACATTGAATTCGTGAACGGACTATGGGTACGGTTTCACGTCGTGGTGTCTAATCAAAGGGGAGCTTGATTGATTCACTTGATCTGGAGTTAAACATGTGCGTGATGAGATTTTGTATTCAGATATCAATGGCGAAATCATTAATGATGACTAATGGACGTATATATATATATAGAGAGAGAATTGCATAATTAGTGATAAGGACATTGTGTTAGTCAGAGCATTGTGCCGCGAGCTTTGCTACTGATAATGCAAGAATATGGTATGAATATACAAATATATGCTTGGGACTGTATACAAGTTTCTTGAGAGTTTAACGCGAAAATAAAAAAATTAGAATTTCACATCCAGGAACTACCCTACCAAAGGAGACGCTTAAAACAATCGATTATTTACTTTTGGATGTATAAAATTTAATCGATAAGAAACCACGCTCATCAACGTTATTTCTGTTTTTTTTTTTTTAGCGAGACTGGCGGTCTTGGTGTTAAAATGGTGGAATACGTTCTTGGGTCGAGTCCTACCACCCCAAAGGACCTGGAGCCTCGAATTGTCTCGCTGAGATTGGTAAGGAATCCCTTCGGGATTATTGTTATTAGCTAAGAAGATGAGGCGATGTGTATGTATGCTATTTTGATCTCGTGTGTCGACAGAACTCGGATGCTGATAAAAAGGAGAAGGAAAAGGGTTCCGCGAGTCCATTCGACGGTTCCAAGGACGATAACGGTCCTCAGGGTAACGGATTGGCCTCCCAAAACGGTCTTGACGACGACAAAGGATTCAAGTGAGTAATCCTCCCCCACCAGCTTCCCGAAGGATCCTCCTTCTGCTGTCCTTTACGGTGTTCTCATCTCAATGAGATTAAACTTCCTTCACGTTCTGTAATCCTTAAGCCAGCGTCACAACCCTGCTGCGTTCTTCGATTGAAAATCGATCTGTTCTTGTCCTTTTACCATCCTGACTTACCTACCACCAGAAACTTCTTTACCGTCTGCCAATGTTGCACTGTTGTATCATTGTCATTGCACAACTGGTTGATGCACAGGATAAACCATTAGAGTCTATGACGATATTACTGCTCAAGGACAAACTTATTCCACGATGGGTATTCGTAGGAAAATGTGACTACTTTCCTTCTTTGACTAGGATACCACTTGGTTTCCGCTCGTCTTTATCCGCCATCTAGCGGCCTTTTGTCCAAGTCTGCTCTCTACCTTACCGACGCACGTTCCTTCAATATTTACTGTTTTGCGTATTCCTTTGTCGTAATGGAAATCGTCTGGCAGAGCATTTCTTTTTATTGTTATACGTTTTTTCTTTTGTATACGGAAACTTTTCTTGCCACAAAAGTATTCCTTGTCAAATTTCTCTATGATATCTAATCCAGCTCCGTCGGTAACTACTGCAACGAAACTCCATTGAGAATGTATCCAAGGCTGTACTACAGATCTTTCACTATTCATTCTCTTTTACTCGTATCCATTACTAACGTCCTCCACGATATCGTGTCTCCTAGGCCTATAGGCTTCGTCATCAATGTTACACAAAATGCACCGTTACCAGCAATAAATACAAGCCGGATGAAAAACTTGCGCGACAAGTTCATCGTTTTCTTAAGTAAATACTATTCAGGCTATTGACTGCCACTCGATACATAAAACGATACTACAATATACACTCCTCTCAATTCTTATGTAAAACCATTGCCGAGTAAAAAATCCAGCTGTATAGTCTGCAAGGCTTTATCGACAAATTATATATAAATTTTCATAACAACCCATGAAAACACGTAAACCGGCACTCCAGACTTTTCCCATATTATCGCAATATTAAATACGCCCAAGTTAAAGTTACCAACCCGCAATCGAAGGTCCGACGAATTTTCTCTGTGCTCTCGTCAATATTCGCATCGCTAAAGTCACGTTTCAAAGTCTCAAAATTACTTTCGTGACCTTTTCACTGACGTACCGACCATCCATGACTTTTAACCCGTCAGTCGATCGAAACGTTTTCTTTTCTTTGACTCTGCTCCAATGCCACACGTTCGTCGGGAGGGGGAATCAAAAAAAAAAAAATCGAAAGGACCTCCACCATTATTCTTGCGCAATACATTCTTCTCGCCGTTCACTGTATTTCTATACTGTGACACAGACTTCAGGCCCGCGTACCTAATCTCTGTTTGCATATTATTTATTTGCCATCCACAAAAGTCCTTTCCCCAGTTCACACTTATCCAAATGACTCTTTAGCAATTGCATTTATTATTTCTCTACGACTTTCTCTCAGATCCTCATCGCTGGCTCCGGGCACGATCTTCTACGACTGTCGCTCTCGAGGTCTTCCACGGGCTCAAGTGAACTACGACTTCCAATGGTTATTACGTTATAGACGTTAAGAAGCTGTATCGGCGGTCCCTGACATTTACGAATGGCGGGTGGCGATCGGCAGGCCGACTTCCAAAGAGAAACACGTCACTTTCTTTATATAGAGATGGAATTTCTAGCGCGCTGCTCGCGAACGCCGTACACGGGAGTTATAACAGGATTTGGTTGGTGGACCGTTGAGGAGAAGAAAAAAATTTTAATACCGTGGCACGGCGCTGTTGTGCCTTTTTTTTTTGAATAATTCCAAAGAATTGCTGTTATTAGTATTTCGCTGAGCACTTTAGTATACGAATAATTGCGTGTTAACGCGTTATAGCGAATTATCGAATCTTTGAGGAATTTTGTAATTTATTCACTTTTCTCTTATTATCGTCCTCGTGCCTTCGTACAAATATATGGAATTTTGGATTATGTCATCAGGACAAACACCGAGTGTGTTCAGACGATTTGGCTGGCTCGGTAGATTCCTCTAACCCACTGACTCAATTAACCAGACGGCTCCCTCGTGCTTCTTGCTTCTACAGTTTTCTTAGCTGTCTATCTCGACGTGAGTCACGCGATTTCTTCGACTTGACTTTGCGGATTCTCGTGAATTATTTTCCTACGATCGTTCGACGATACGCGTTATTAATATAAACAAGAGTCAAAATTGTGCTTCCAACCTAACCGGAGTCTGAGGTGGTAGTGGTCTTTGAGAATTCGTTGGTCTTTCCTTGTCCTAGTTTACTCCACTTTGAACACCCTGATGATGCTGGCTCCCTGGACCATGGTCTTGACACTGTCTGATGAATTGTTTGAATTGACTTGCAGTCGCACTCCAGGAAGCCGACAGCCGTCTCCGGGCGAGGAGGAGTTCCAGAAGAACGCGGCAGCCACCCTGGCGGTCAGCGCCGGAGGTGGTGTCGTCCTTCTGAAGCAAGGAGTGGACGTGGTTGGTAGCGAGGAGCATCATTTCATCTCGGCGTTCGCATCGGCGCCGCCGCATCATCTTCAGCATCATCAGGCGCCGCCGACCCATCATCTTCAGCATCCCCATTCGCACGCGGCCCAGTTGTTCGGCGCTCAAGGTCCGCCGCCACCTCAGGGTCCGCCACCGTCTCAACAACAGCAACAGCAGCAGGGACCACCTCAGCCCCAGGACACGACGACCCACTTTGACGTCCAGGTCAGTTCACACCTATTTGATCTTTTAACTCTAACCCACCTTTTCTAGGTCCAGCCAGGTACCTAACTCAAGCTTTAACCAGCCTGGTAAAAAGTTAGCCTTTGGGTACAGTTCGTTGCCGCTCTGCAAATCCAAAGCACGTGTCCTTAACGAGTTCCCGAGAGCGGCACCGGTGGGAATATTTAAAGCGAGCGTATGAATGTTTTTCTTATATTTTTTTTTTTTTTTTTTTTTTTTTTACTACCACCTCGTCTCCACCACCTACTCCTTCCTCACCACCCGCCACTTCATCTTCTTCTTATTCTCAGAGTGTTAATTTGGCAGAGCGTAGTTATTTTTAAAGTGCGCACGCGGCACTAATGAGCCGACCAACCACCGAGAGCAACCGTCCCCGTCGTCGTCCTCGCTTCTCATCATCCAACCCTCTACAGGGTCCATCCACCAACCCAGGGTATCACCACTTCAAGACTCTTCCGTCCTCTCTTGGACACTTCACCCATCATATACCCAGCTTCGTTGCCGAGGTCCATGAGACACTGAGCGGATCTTTGACAGGCCTGACCTTGTCCACTGGTAACCCTGGCTATTCGACGGGATGGTACCATCCCTTGTTACCATTTCTTTCATCGAGTATCTTCGAGGTACAGCCTGTACCTGCGAAACGTGGACTCGGGAAAATCTGAGGTCTCCTCCTTAACAGCAGATATATAAATCATTGTGTGACAGCTCGGCCACCTACTTTGAATCCTATTCGGAAAATAGAACGAACGTTTCCTCTCCTCACCGCCGTTTCCACCCGTCTACCCCCCCCCCTCTCTCAGATGCATCTGTGTACATACATATATATATAGCCCTTATGTACTCAGACTTTCTATGTAGATACCGGGTTTACTCATGTAGACTGAACTACGGAACACCCGGGACGTATATACACGCCTATTTAACTTTGCCCGGCATTCACGTTCTGCCCTGACCGACGGTCTCTCTCTCTCTCTCTCTCTCTCTCTCTCTCTCTCTCTCTCTCTCTCTCTCTCGCTACGCGATACGTTACATACCTGCGTTAACAAAACTGGCACGTGAATGTGTCACGGCTACCGGCCATTATGCAGTTTGGCGCAACCGGGGCTACCCGTTGAAGAGTACCGGACAACGTCACCGACGACTTTAGCGATAACTCACATGCCGAAGTGAACCAGCCTTTAGGCCGTTTCCAATGCTTGGAGAAAGGTTAGTTAGAAAGGATATATATACGTGAGCTAAAGCAGCCACTGCAGGATATATACGTATATGTGTTGATCCTGAATTATAAAAAAAAAAAAGGGTAGAAAAAAATCCAGGTCGTTTCTTGCTCTAATAATTCTTTTTTTCTCATTTTAGAGAAATTTATATCCCGCATCGTGGTTAAGAACTGTTTACCCTGGGTCCTGTAAACTGGTCCTCAGTGTCTCAGTCGCCTCACCATGACCTACCTCACACGTCTCCTTTTCTTCATCCCTGGGATCGTCATCACGACCAAGATAGACCAGGATGGATCTCAATACAGAGATTCTGCTCCTCCTCCTAGACTATGGCAGACCTCTTCGGGCTGCTGCTACGTCATTCCTTTTTGCTCTTCACTCGACGTACCAGAAACGTGATCGTCCTTGCTAACCCATTTAACGTCTTTGTATTTATTGTCAGGACTCACGTGCATATATATTGTATCCCTGGCAAGGACTGCTCCCACACGTGCCGTTACAGTCACGCGTACAGGTGCGCCCAGCGTCCTGGTATCAAGGAAAGGGAGGGTCTCCACCTCGTGGTCTTCTGTCGCAATGCTAAAATTCCCTCGGGTTATTATAATTAGTGACTGGGGTTTGTTCAACGCACGTGTATTAATGCTCACGTAGAGCAACGGGGGTGCCAGGCACGCTGCCTACGCACGTGTCAAGAGCACGCGAGTACTTTGTAAGAACCATCGACACCCCTGCTCCACTTCGTCCCTGGATAATAATTGATAATACAGTCGGGACACATCCGGCCTTAACCACCTACGTGGTTCGTTCGCACTAACTACCCCCTGTGTACGCGCCTTGTTCTTTTTTCTATCGTCGCTTCGCGAGTAAAGGATTTGTCCGGGGGGAAAACTGTTTTACCATAAAAATCTGCCTTACCTTCGGAGCCCTTCCTAAATGTACTATTTCACTCGTGTACCTGTCATAGTCACGCGTGAATTGTATATGAAAAAAAAAAATATTACGAACTTTATTACGGCAGTGCTCCGTCATGCTCGTCGTTGCATGAAGTCATTCCCAACCCCCCTCCCTCCCCCTTCACTTTTCTTCTTCCCTCCTTTGCGTACCCTATCCGCATTCTGATCTTGCCTCCCACCTCTTTCCGACTCCGTGGATCCTCGGCGAGAGAGTAGCTGAAGGATTGGGGGAGGTTCGGGTTGGGTGGGGGTAAGGAACGAGGGGAGTGAAAAAAAAATGACAGAGAAAATAGATCCTAGTCAAAGTCCAGGAGAGAGAGAGAGAGAAAATATAAAGAGAGCCGCAAGGCAGTAGACGCACCAGTCCCTGTAACGGGTTGTTGACTCCTTGTCCATTCAGCATAAAGTGCAATGACTCCTCCGACGATGAAAATCTGTATCGGTCGTTCTTAGGCCGCGTTTCCAAGCGTCCTGTCACGCTTCGCTATCTCGTGAAATCCCTACGTGTAAAGTCACTCCGATACCCAGGGAATCCCTTGGCCCAGGATCCTCTCTCAGACCCGGCTCTTCACAGAACCGGACGAATGGAGTCTTTTCTGGTCTTGGTTGGACAGCGTTGCCATGCTTGTTGGCTCTTTTTTTTTTTTTTTTCCTTTTTTTTTTCATTCCGTTCGAAGAAAAACTTTTTGTCGTACTGCGGACTTTCGGCATGAGCTTCTCGGTTACACTGTATTGGAACTTCTTCCATTGTGTTGCCGTGGGGGAATGTTTGTCGCCGATGTCCCTGAGAGCTTGTCACTCATCTGACGATATTTCTGGTGGATACTTAACTTACGTAAGGTAGCCGCGTGGGGATTCGTATTCGTCATTCTGCTCGTCCCTTCGGCCAACTTCACGGCCTAAAACGTTACACGCGGAATACGATACACGGTATTCACGAAATTTCGATGTCAGGTGTCCGTGGTTCCGATTTTTTGAGTAGCGAACAAAAATTTTTGACAAAATTTACTGCTTCAGACCCCCCCCGTAGGCTTGAGTACTGAATATACGAAAAAGCGTGGATATTCGCGAGTCGTCCATGACGGAAAGTAAAATGTCGGGGTCCGGAATGTTAACGACTCGACGTTGGATGACTAAGTGGTTACGTTGACGAAAGATCATCCGCGATAGATAAAACGAGATAATTGTGTTAGCGATGTCAGAGGCTTATCAGCTGCCAAGTGTATACGGGATAAGGGTTGAAGGTTGATTTTGAAATTTTTCTTTTTTACGAGGTACTTCATTATTAAAGTGGTGCGATTTTTTTCGATGGGTAATATCTCTGTCCTTGTCTCGCCCGCTTAACCCACCCTAGCTCCCTCTCTCTCGCACTCGCGGTCGGTATAGGAAAGTCGCAAATTTTTTCGGACTATTTTTTATTCTTCCTTATATATCCTTTTCTTTCGGCTCGCTCAAGCTCGAACGGCTATGCCGTGGATTATGGGGGGGACGTCTTTGGGACGTCTCTGTCGGAAGACGTGCCAGCGGAATTATTAATGGTAGTGATATTATTCATTCGAGGGTTGGCCCGCCTGGGGTAGATGACGTCTAGTGACTCCTGGCTGTGTTTGGGTTCGGGTCTGGGGTGGCTCGGTCTAGCTCACTAGCCTCCAGGTAGGTTCTAATTAAAACGAATCGCCCGCAGAGTCGAATCTAGTCTAGAAAACCATCCCTTAGTGAAGGCGACCCCTAAATTGGTCCCCCATCCCTTGGCACACTCGACTTTACTTTGCCCTTCAGGATAGGTGCTAACCTCTCTCTCGCACCTACCAACCCCCCTCCGGAGAGGGCAACGTCGTCATCCTCGTCGCCTCGGACTCGATGCTCCTCCTGCTGTTGCTACCCTTACGGCCCTCCCCGGGCCTACCCCCCCAACCCCCTTGTCACTTGAAGCGTGGAAACACAAAGCAAAGTCCTGAAGTCGTGAACAAGTGCACGAGATCGCGACACAGGGGTTCTCAACCTGCCGACCGAGAAAGTATTTTTGTTTACCCTTGCCCCCGTTATCCGTTTCTCTTAGGGTTGACGAGCGGGGGGTAGAGCTTGGTTGTGTTTGGCGGGTGGAAAAATACGTCAGTGCAGGGAAAAATCCTTGAGCCGATATGCCTCCCTTTAACGTGCCGGTCATACTCTTTTTTTTTTTTTTTTTTTTTTTTTTTTTTTTTATTAGCTCCCCGACTCTCCGCCAACCCTTTTCAACATTCCCCGCTATTTCTCATTCGGTCAGGGCTGACGCGTTTAAGCCTCAGGACACGCTTCTACGTCGGCGTTTCATATTATAATAAGAAATATTGTAGGGTGCGGTCTAACGTGTAACGGGGGGGTACGGAGTATATAAGGCCAAAGGGGGGTAGGTGGGTGATAGGTGGGCAAGTAGGCAGGGTAGCTCGCGTAGGCGGGTGGTTAAACAGGCGTGGCGTGTTGAGCATATGGGGGTGTTGTCGAAGTGCTCTGGACTCTGAGGTTGCTCGCTAGGGCTGGTTGCAGGGGGGCGGCGGGAGGGGATTTACCGCTGGTTTCTCGATGTGTAACACGCTAGATCGCGTGCCAGTTCATCCCCCCTGGAGCTCCGTGGGTTCTCAACCCTTTTGAACCCCTTCCCCGTATATCCTCGCAAAAACTCTCTCTCTTTTGAAACAATAGGCTCTTGGCCACGGGCGACGACAATGTACTTCGCTCCTCAGGACAGAGAGAATCCACGAAAGTGGAAGAGGAGGATTGGGGGG